GTCTGTCGAGTACTATCAGGGCATCTTCCAGCGCTTCGGCTCGCGCGGCTCGGCCCTCACCGTGGTACCGTTTAATCAGGGCTCAAAGCAAGACGTCGAGGCTATCGTCGACTACATCTACGGCACTCTCGGCCTCGATCTCGACTACATTCTCCCCTTCGCTGCTGTACCTGAGAACGGCCGCGAGATTGACGGTCTCGACGACAAGTCCGAGCTCGCGCATCGCATCATGTTGGTCAACCTACTTCGTCTCCTCGGGGCGGTTAAGACCAAGAAGGCGTCCCGCAACTTCGTCACGCGCCCGACGCAGGTGATCCTCCCGCTTTCGCCCAACCACGGTCTCTTCGGTAACGACGGCTTGTACTCTGAGTCGAAGATTTCGCTGGAGACTTTGTTCAACCGCTGGAACTCCGAGAGTTGGGGTGAATACCTCGGCCTTGCCGGCGCTGTCATTGGGTCCGTCCATTCATCCATCTATTACTTGCGCTTTTGCTCATACATTTCACAGCTGGACTCGCGGTACCGGGCTCATGGACGCGACGAACATGGTGGCCCAGGAGGTCGAGGCACATGGCGTCCGCACGTTCTCCGCCAAGGAGATGTCCTTCAACATCCTCGGTCTCATGCACCCGCTGCTGTTCTCGATCACTCAGGTTGAGCCTATCTGGGCCGACCTCAGTGGTGGTATGGACCGCGTCGCCGACCTCGCTGAGATCACTACTCGCATCCGCACGACGATCAATAAGAAGGCGGAGTTACGCCGCGCCATCGCCCGTGACAATTCGGCCGAGTTCAAGACCGTCAACGGCGTCGAGGCCGAGCGCGTGCTCCAGACTGTCAACGTCACGCCCCGCGCCAACTTCCGCTTCGACTTCCCCGAGCTTGAGACACCTGAGACGCTCGAGAACCTCGCCAAGCTCCGCGACGTCATCGACCTTGAGAAGGTTGTGGTCATCACTGGCTACGGCGAGGTTGGCCCATGGGGTAGTTCTCGTACGCGCTGGGAGATGGAGGCACGCGGCGAGCTCACGCTCGAGGGCTGTATCGAGATGGCCTGGATGATGGGCTACAT